CCCGAAACAAACAAACAAACAAACAAAACAATAACAACAAACGAAGAAACAAACAAACAGACAGTCAAACGAACGAACAAAAAGTACCCAGTTCGGCCCTGATGAGCTGGGTTGAAGTAGCCCGCCATTTAATTAAGATACCAAAACTGTCCCCGTGGGGGCATACTGTAATATGTTTAAAAAAGAGAAAAAAACTCTGCGTAAAACTTTGAGCAACATTGGTAAACGATTAAAAAAAAAACACTTTGTATCTGCTTTTAAGAGAATCAATATTCACGCTAAATATAATGATATTGGTTAGTGTATGGACTAATCGAATATGACTTAGGTCATTTTGTAGAATTTTTTAAAACGGTTACTTGGTAAGCGTACAATTTATTTCTATCCTACCGCATGGTTTTTTTTAAGCCAGTGGTATCTTAACAATTTTTTGTCAACTCATAAATAAATATACACACTTTATTTTCTCATTCCTTTTCAAACGATAACTTTTTCTCAGTATAAGTTAGTGTCTGCTTACAAAGAAACACAGCTGAGAACTCACGTGCTTTTTTTTTTGCGGAATTACTTTTGAGCGATGACTAAACAGCGTACATCATACTTTATATATTATTTTTTCTTCTGTATCGTCTTATCTTTAGGAATTTATATTATCTCTGGAACAGGTATTGGTTTTATGCATTTTTCCAAACTGATTTTGATTTGTGACTTAGTCAGTGTACAATAGTATGTATTTCTCCCTGCGAGATGAATAAAGATTGTCATTGTCATTGTCCTTTCTTTGTCGTCGTCAGGAGTTTGTGACAGCCCACAAGGAAGCTGCTCGGTCCATGGAGCCCAACAAGGACAACGGCGAGCAAGCGGACAGCTCGGGCACCTTTGACGTAGCGGCAGTGTTGTGTGAGAAATACACGGAGTGGTCAAAGGTGAGAGACAATTGTCACTGGAATTGTAAAGCTATTATATGTTCCATCGACACAGTTTACTCGTAGGTATGTTAAATAAATGGTGGGCTTCTTCAACCCCGCTCGTTACGGCCAAACTGGGTACTTTCTGTTCGTTCGTCTGTAAGGATTTTGTTTTCTTCTCAGCTTGGGTTGGCTCAAACAGAGGTAGTGGAAGCAGCCCTCCTCCTTTACGTATAAATTGTGTCAATCAGGGCGTAACAAATTATCTGTAATTAAACTTTTTATGTTGGAGTTGTATGTGTGTTTCATGTTGTGTGCGTGTGTGCGTGTGTGTTTGTGTGTGTGGGTGTGTGTGTGTGAGAGAGAGAGAGAGAGAGAGA